AATGGTGCAATATAAAAACAATAGCTCTTTGGTGCAGCATTATTGAGAACAATGCATTAAGACTACACTTTCAATAGCAAGCTAACAACAAACTTCGGCTGAGAAACAAAAATCACCGCATGGGAGTGTGACAGAAAGAGAACAAAGTTGGCAAAAAAAAACTCAATTGCCCCTATTGGGCATAAAATACTTGAAGTCTTATAATAGAAAGTTGAAACCTTGACCTTGTATCCTGAAATTCAAATAAATAATAAAATGTGGCATGGAATAGTAAAAAGCATGGTGCAATAGCCGAATTATATGAACCGTCACTCTAGTTCTACTAAAGCTAATAAAATCCAACATAATTATCATGACCTTTCACCTAATATTGTAATCAAGCATAAAACAGTTTCACTTCAATATATACACAAGTTATTTGCCGCCATATCAGATAAACAGAAGCAATTCATAGAATCTCATGGGTGAAGCAATAAAATAATATTAAATAAACCATTAATAACAATAATACCTACGAAAACTTGATTCTTCTGTCTCAAAAAGCATCCTAAAACGCATCCCAACTGAGATGCGTGTGTGGAAAACAGCTTTGACATATTTGAAAAGGGTATCACAAAATCATGGCTAGCCCTGCATAGTAGAAAACAACTTTGTTAACAAAGACATAAAGAATAAATCAAAGCTAAGAAATCATCACCTCGGATTATAAATACTGTAAAGCAGCTATTAGTTGCAGCAGCATGAGCTGCAGCAGCAAGTAGTCCAATGTGCATGCTATCACTAATAAAACAGATGATGGCATTACAGTTTGTGGGCGAGCAGCGCGGCGAATTCCCAAAAGAAGCTGGTTCTTTTTCATTCCTAATGAAAAAATGACAATATATGGTAATAATGAAATGTACCATTTAAAAAAATATTCAGCAGCATGATTAGGAAAAAGAATTGATACCAAATAAAAAGAACAGAATCCCCTGCAACAAGTCTCTTGGCACTAACAAACACACTCCAGCCTGTAGTAAGAAGGTGGCGTTTAGGTTGTCCTGCAGTCAGGTGACACCACATCCACTTAAAGAAATCAATAGTTGTAGTCTTAGATGGATAGTTTTAGTGTCCAAGAAGAAAATCTAATTTGTTACTAAAATAGTTGTCTAAAGCAGATTACAAAAAAGACGGTCCAACCATAGTTCCCTTAACTACAGGCACAAAAAGAATCATTATAGAAATATCAAGTGAATACCTGAAGTCGCATGCCCGAATATATAAAATATATTAGTCAATCAAATTAGAACAAATCTAGGATATGTAACCTCAGTTGATATTCTTTTGAGTTTAGAGTTCATTTAGTAATTGTCAGTTCCCACTCCTAAACCCTGCCAAGATAAACCATTTAGTTACAAGGTTTTCATTTTATGGAGAAAACTTATACTGGTTCTAATTACACAATAAACATTGCAATGATAACTAAAGAATGGCAGTAACTTCCATATCTTTAAAGCATGCATCATACAACTTTACTGAACATTGATCTTCTGAGTCTGTCCACATCTATTGCCCTATGGCTTTGATGCTTCTCTACATTTAAAAGTTGATGTTTCAACAATACGAGCTAAAAAAGCAACCTATCAGTCTTCTTTTTTGTGAATCATAACCAAGATTTCTCACATAATCCAATTTTGATTTCTGTGCCGAAGTGTCTAAAGTTAGCTTAGGGCCAAGTTGAAATGCAGCAAAGGCACTGTGCCTCTGGAACAAAGATAACCATAGAACTAAGGAGATAAAAGTTACTTAAAACCATATGCACCAGGCACTTTGAAAAACTTAAATACAATGTAAGTTGCATAGTAGACAACGAATATGACTCAATTAACTCCCTTTTTTGAACTATTAGGTACTAGTAACCAAATCAAAGAAAGTTTCATTAAACATGAACAAAGATACAAGCCCGATGTCCCATTTACACCAATAATTAACTTGTAAAGAAAAAAAGAAACTATTTATTTCTATAAATATTGGAGAAAAGAGGTGGGTTGGAGGGTTTAGGAGAGAAGAAAGACTACAAGCTATGAGAATCCTTTGATTGAAGCAGCAGTTGAAACTAACCTCTAAATATATGTCTAAATTTCCACTCAACATCATGTAGATCCCTTGCAATAAGTTCCTGAGCTGGTGGCTGCTGCGAGAAGTCCTGCAAACAAAGAATAAACACGTCAGCACGAAGAAACTGGCTTGAAGGCAGAAGATATACAAGTCATAGATTACCAGTGGCGGGAAGACTTTTTCGGCAGCTCGACGAGGAACAGAAAACCCACCATGGGTACTAGTATCACTTGCTGTCAGTGTCTTATAGAAATAATTGGTTGGCTGCTTGCTTGGAAACCCCAACTCCATAGGAAGAATGTATCCTTCTGCTCTTCCTTTATGGCAAAAGAGAAAAACATATAAAACGAAACCCAAAACTGTATATTGAAGTGAAGAAGAAAGCAATGCTTCTTACAGGTGTCAAAGGCTGCAGTGACATTTGGGCGTATACTTCATCTGTCTCAACATCAGCCTGAAATCATAACACATGCATAAGCAATGTTTGAACTCTTTAGACACTGAATGACTGAAAATGAAGAGATAAAAAGGAAATAACTTAATTATCCAAAAATAAAAAAGGAAATAACTTACATGCATAGTGACATTGTGGAGCTTACATATCAACTGAGGAGGCAAGTTGGGTAATTTGGAATGTGGGTGTCGACCTCCTTGTTAGTGGTGGCAGCTACCTGAAAATTGATCACAATTTTCATTGTGTTTGAAACTAAAAAAACGTCAGTTATGACCAGGGAAGAAAAGAGATGTATTTTGCGTATGAATTATTCTTTAAAAAAAGACCTGCTCGCTATGACCCTGAGGAAAGTAGACAACACGGGTCCCGGCACTGGGTAGACAAACCAGGGCCGGCGCACGCATGCCATAACTCAGAGTTCAAGCACTTGTTTTCCCCTAATAATCATTGACCATTCATTATAATTTGAATAGATGAAGAAATATGAACAAATGAATCAATTTAGCATCTGCAAGATTTAGATATGAAAAAGTATCATACTTTAAAAACGTTGAACAAAAACCTTCATTAGCCTGCTGCTGACCCTGTCCTGATGTTGAAAGCTTCATATCAACCTTAGTTTCTGATTCGAAAGAAGATAATTCTAAATTAAAGTGAGAAACCAAACAAATCACAACCTTTCACTCGTACTGCAATCATTGCACGTGAAATGGCAAAACCCCTAAAACTGTTTTTAAAAAAGCAAACCCCATTTTAGATCTTAAGCTCGGAAAGTGAAGGAAGGAGGAGAAGAAGGAGGAGATGGCAGAGTTTCCTCTTCTTCTTCCATCACAACACCATGGGTATAGGGTAAGGGTTTTTTCTTAAATCACTACAAAACTCAGCCAAAACAAGTAAAAAGAGCACAGGGTAGGAAGAAAGTTGGTTTTATAGGGAGTGGACCCACCGAAAACTGAAAGCTGAAACAGCAGGAAGTATTGATAGAGTGAGATAAGAGTTTAAAAGAGGTTGGAGGAGACAATCTGGGCCGTTGGTTCATCCGTACGGGAGGATCTGGGGCGTCAATGGGGTGGTGTGATACGACAGCAGAGCATGTGCGACCATCCTCCAGTGGTCGCTGTCACAAGTACCGATTGATAGCGCTCCATTATAGTTTTAATAGGGTGGAGTTATCAACAGGTGTAGTCTCTTTCCAGTGAAATAAAAAAAATCAAAGAATAAATAGGGAAAATAATTGTCAGAAACAGGGAATATAACTATTAATTAACTTTGACTTTGGGTAAACAAAAGTCCACCACTTTCCTATCACAAAATCAAGTTTCTATTTTTTTTATTAAATTAAACTTATTATAAAATAATATATATTTTGAATATTTTTAATGATTTAATAATAAACACTTAATAATTTTGATGTAATCGTTATTGTCTGAACATGTAATTTTTAAGAATAATAACTATTTTTTAATCAATAAAGTAAATTGATTCATGTTCAAATTTTTATTTATAAAAATATAGTAAAAGTTGTCATTATATTATTAGAATGTTAAAATTTTATTTCCCCAAGTAGTGCACCCATCATATTATTTCTTTAAATAGTCATTTGTTACAGTACACTATAAATACGCTAAGATTTCTACATGTCTTCAAACGTCTTAAAGTTGAATACCTGAAGATTATCAGTGTCTTCAACGCATTTTTCATACCTTGTAAAGCTACATCACTATCATTCGCCCGTGAAACTTGCATTACTGTAGAACTCAACATATTTGGGGAAATAATTTGGCAGTTGCACTACATGAGGAAATAAAAATCCTTCAAGCATTATTTTTTGCCGATGAATTAAGGGAAAGAAACTAGAAAAGCCTTGGTGGTACAACGTTGTTGGTTGCAATAGTGGAAATGTAGGGGTTTCAAAGGCATTTAATGCCTACGAGAACTATATTCAAATTTGATCAATGTGTGGGTGCCAACATTTGCATATGCTACCGTCCATCGTCTTATTATACCAATTGGTGGAAATGCCTTTAGAAAGTTTTTACACTCAACGCTGAATCAAAACTTTAACATCCATCAATACATTTAGATGTTCACAGTTTCCATACAGCATTTTTGGGATGAAAATTGTTCTCCAAATTGAGGATGCATACAAACATCAATGGGTTGGAACCATACATTTTTTAACCAAATCGTAATTTGATTCAGCCCGACTTTTAAATAATTGTGTATTGAAATGAAATGAAAACGTTTTTTATGTAGTTTACTCATTTAGTTAAATAATTGCTTTTATCTTTTGGCTGTGTTTTGTGATCAAATTTGATCTTCAAATTAAGTTTAATAAACATGTATGAATGTAATTGAAAACTATAAAAATCGTGATAAGAGAAAGTAAATGAAGTTGATATATATCAGCCGCAAACAACAGTGTTCAAGTGAGTCGAACATCCGAAACACATCAAACCCCATGGCATAATACGAAAACACACTTGATAGTGGAGCACAAATGAGAGGCGTTTGCAAAGTCAATATGATGGTCGAAGCAGATTGATTCCGAATGAAATAGTGCAGATCTTGAGCCCAACCAATGCCAAGAACCCAAGTTTCCTGCACAATCGTATCCATAGCTTGTTTCTATCAATATGTGTATTATAACATCTTCAATCTAAAACAGATCGACCTATCAGCACTAAAATGGGAAAAGAAGAGGTAAGGAATGAAGTACCCGAGATTGAGACGGTTACTGGGATCACCGTGGCATAGTCAGTGAAGTAGAAATACGGGCGACGATGTAGACTAGTCCCAGAGCAGCAGAGACTCGAGGATGTCCCATCCCTCCCAAAATAACCAATACGAAGAACTTAGGCATCATCTCCAGCGAATTCTGGTGCCCTTCTCTGCAATCATTTATATGTATATGAGTAAATGATGTTGGATATGAATTGCAAAACTACACCGTTAGCACTGACTGTAAATATAAACAGTAATTAAGAAGAACAAATTCTTAAACCGTGTCGTGGTAAGAACCACTGCCTTAGAAACGAATTCGCCCCGATGTGTGTAATCGCTGCAGTAGGCGGACCGTCCCCCGAGGTTAACACGGTCGCTCCGAATTCCGTACACCCGAAACCGGAGTGGACTGCTGGTGGTATTACTTCTGATCGGAAAGCACTCAGAGAGAACTCACAGAGAGAACTTTAGAAAACACTTTGTAAGTGAATTGTGAATGTTTTTTGAATGAGTTGAGAAGCTGAATATAGCTCTCTATTTATAGGCTAGAAATAGGGTTAAAATCGTCTATAAAATTTCAGGATTAAATCTCTTATTTGTAACAGCTGAAATGTCTATATGAACCTAACTCAGAAATAGTCCAGGTTCATTGTATCATTATTCAGCTGTTATAACTCCCGAAATTATATCATGTAACCCCTGGAATTAAATCAAATAACTCATGTAACTCCTGATATTAACAGCTTGTCTCCTCTGTACAAAGCTGTATATCAGTCCAGGTACATCTTAACGTTTCTGATTTCATTTAGGAATAAACTGTTTAATTTCTGATAACAAATAATTCAGCTGTTATTATTTGAAATTCAAACAGTCCTCAGCAGCCTATAAATATCAGTTGATATCTTTCACATTTTCCATTTGTTTCTTTCAAAGAGAAATTCCTCAAGAATTTTCTTTAAAAAGATAGTATCCGCGCGGACGTGTCGAAGACACGTATTACCACGACCACGACCACGACCACGACCACCAACCTCACCTCGACCTCGACCACGACCGACCACCACGACCCGCCGAGCCGTGCCGAGCCGAGACGAACGAGACGGACAGATGACGGCGGCGGTACGCGAGAGCCCCCCTTGTTCTCTATCACTCAACAAGGAAGTGGAATGTCAAGCCTTAAATACCATTCCCAATAGTGTTTCCAACACTATGTGGGATTGAGCATTACCAACATTTCCCCACTAATGCGAAAGAAATCTTCTGAACTCAAAAACAAGCTTTCCAGAAGAGCAATAGCGAGATTAGTTGCTTAAGCACTAGTGAACATATCTGGAACTAGTACATAGTGATGATGAGCAATCATTCTCTTAGAAAAGTGAAACTAGTCTCGAACTTTCTAAGATCAAGGTAAACTCATAACATAACTAACCCTTCATCCACCTGAGTCCTCGATGTGTAAGATATATATATACAAAAGTATATATTTGGCCATCTTACCTCAGGATTCTAGTAAGTGTGCTAGAAAATGGCCCAATATTTTTCATAGAAGGCGGCTAACCCTTCTCACTTACATAGGTTATTTCATCAAGTTTATCTCCACATAAACCACCCTTTAAAAAGGGATATGAAATAATTAAGAGCTTTATAATAGCTCAACCTCACAAAGGGTATGGTGACTTTTTTCAAGTTCATTATAAATGAACCACCCAAACTCTGGGCTAAGAAGTCATTAAGAATAAATATTCAACCTCATTTATCGGTAAATTCAATAAGTCATTCTCACTAGAACCATCCAAATACTTGGATTTGAATTTATTAAGAGTTTAACAAACTAAACCTTTCTGTCGGTAAGTTCATCATTTCCTACCCACTCACTCTGGGTATGAACTTATTAAGAATAGATATTCAGCCAAAATCGGTAAATTCATCAAGTCTTTCTCACTAAGACCACCCAAAGCCTGGGCTATGAATTTATTAAGAGCAATTAAGCTCATCCTGGGCATGCACATATTCATCATAGGGATAGGCAGTAGGAATGTGCACTATGAGTCTTTCCATGGTTTCGTTTGACCACATGGAACTTAGATAACTAAGTTGGGTATCCACCATGAATTCCTCAACCAATGGGCTTTAGACCCATCCCTCTTGACGAATCTAGGACCAGCTTCCGACTTAACCCTTTGGTAAGTGGATCTGCTAGGTTTCTTTCCGACTTCACATACTCTAAAGAGAGCACTCCATTCTTTATCAAGTGTCTAACTGATTCATGTCTTATGCGAATATGTCTTTTCTTACCATTGTAAGCTTGGTTCTTAGCCACACATATCGCAGCTTGTGAATCACACAACAATGAAACTGGAGGAGTCGGTCTTCCCCACAACGGAATATCTGCTAACAATTTTTGAGCCACTCGGCTTCTTGCCCAGCTAGGTCAAGAGCTATAAACTCTGACTCCATGGTAGAACGAGCAATACAAGTCTGCTTTGATGATTTCCACGAGATTGCTGCTCCACCCAAAGTAAAAACATACCCGCTCGTAGAGCTTACCTCATCATTATCAGAAACCCAGTTGGCATCACAATATCCTTCCAGTACCGCAGGAAAGCCAACAAACTCAAGTTTCTAATCCACAGTACCTTAAGATACTTCGGTAAGCGTTTAAGTGCAATACAGTGCTCACCACTCGGATTATGAGTATATCTACTTAGTCTACTCACAGCATAAGCAATATCAGGCCGAGTATAGTTCATTAAGAACATTAAGCTTCCGATTAATTTAGCATATTCAGTTTGGGAAACACTACTTCCTTTATTCTTAACTAGATGTATGCTAGGGTCATAAGGTGTTCGAACAGGGACGACATCAAAACTGTCAAATTTCTTTAGCACTTTCTCTATATATGTGCTTGACATAAAGAAAATCCCTTCTCAGTTTTGGTAACTTGACTCCTAAGATTACATCTACTTCTCCCAAAGCTGTCATCTCAAACTTAGTAGACAAGAATTTTTTAACTTTGTTAATGGACTCAATGTTAAAACTGAAAATCAACATGTCATCAACATAAAGGCTATGATAAACATTCAGTTTCAAACATCTTCGAATACACACAAGCATCCGAACCATTCACAACAAAACTAAAACTAAGAATAGTTTTATGAAATTTCTCATACCACTGTTAGGAGCCTGCTTAAGTCCATAGAGTGACTTTTTGAGTCTACAGACTTTGCCTTCCATACCAGGTGCCTCAAAACCTAGTGGTTGCTCTATGTAAATCTCCTCATCTAGATCCCCATTCAAGAATCAACTAATTCCCAAGTATGATTAGACATTATCGATTCTATTCATCATTAACAGCGCTTTTCCAAAAACTAGCATCAATAGATCTTATAGCTTCTTCAAAAGTTTTAGGATCCTCATCTAATAGAAAATTTGAGCTATAGGATCTGAAATGAAGTCTAAATCATTTATCTCAGAAATAAAGGAAGTAATAAGTCTGGTCCAAAAGAGGTTTCAACTCTTTGCCTTTACTTCTTCTAGCTCAAAATCAATTTGTTCAGAAGACCTAGCAAGATTACTAGAAGAAGTTGATGGAATATATTCTATTTGTTCAGAATTCCCCAACACCTCCATCTCTCTGTTTCTATTCTTTTACTGCTCTTTACGTGTTATTATATAACCCTCCAATCGCTCACAGCTTCCTCTTGTTTCTCTTCTATGGGAATTCTTGACTTTCTCGCCAAGTAAACAAGACAACTAGGCTAAAACAAAAGCCATCCACTTGGTTTTTTTCGTTTTTCACATGCACTGTGCATTCTAACCCACTGCCCGCACATAAAAATTACTAAAAACATATTATATCGTTAATCAATTCCATCGTCAATGTTGTTGTAGCATAAATAATCAGAGTGGGTGAGAATGAAAAAAACATGGATTATAAAATGTTCCAAAATTTGGCTAAAAGATACCAAAAAGAAAGACTCCAGCTTCTTGGTTCTAGTCTTCTAGACCTGCGATTTTACTTGGTTCTAGTCTTCTAGACCTGCGATTTTTACCGATTCTTAGTTTTTCAATTCAACCCGTAAAATTAAACTGTTAAATCAACCAGTTTTCAATTCTGTCCGTTCCAGTTTTTCGAAGAACTAACTTGTATTAGCAGGGATAGAAGAGAGAACGCAATGGAGTGAATTCCGAAACGAGTCTTGCACAGGCAAATGCTTTCACACTGCAAATCCATGCTACATTGAAACAAAACGCCACTTTATTCACGTATGTTCAAGAAGCTAAAAGCCGGTACACTGCTTAAGGTGTCACAGAATGAACCAACAAAAAAATTAACAGTTTCATTAAAGACTCAAGTCCACCACTCACTTCTTTAGTAGCATTGCGCTGCATTGTGCCATTATTTTGATGCCTGGTAATAGAATCAGTCATGTAGAAATTCTCAACAGCAGCCTTGAATGGTGTTGAGTCTATCTTCTGAGTACAGTCGGGACTCAATGCCGGTCCAAAAGAAGCCGCCTCTATCTCATCAGTGCGGAGTAGGTTTGGTGCCACAGTGCTCATCCTGGATCGTATGGCTGCTAATGTATCATAAGGTAAATGAATTCCTGCAACCTCAGAGAGAGCTCGAATGATCTTCCAATCATCCCTAGCATCACCCACCGTAGGGACTGCAGGCAATGTTTGCTGGGCACACCTTCTGTATTTTCATATGTGCCCTCCTTCTCACTGAATGCTGCTGAAGGAAGAATTACATTGGCACGATACAGGCTACGGTCCCCATGGTGCCCCTGGTACACCACAAAAGCATCCGCTGGAACTTTTTCCAAGTTCAATCATCAGCACCCATTAGATACATAATTTTGCAGACTCGATGCTGTTGCTGGATTCTGGCACAAGTCCAAGGTCAAGGGCTGCAGCCTGGGAAGCATTGAGAAGTAAAACATTGAATCCATTCCAGTCAGGTCTGATGGCATTCCCCATCTTTGCAATGGCTTCAACAGCAGCAAAAATTGCATCTTTGTCGTCCCTCTCAAATACCCCAGCACCAACAATGATGGCTGGGTTTTTGGCATTTGAGATGGCTGAAGAAAAGGATGACGACCCTTGGCAATCTCAAGAATTGTTTGTGGCCCAGTGCCAAGATGCTGGCAATCATAGTTGAAGTCTGTTGGAGGACCAATGTATCCAACTTTAGCCTTTGATGCCCGAACCGTCTTACGAATTCTGGCATTTACCATAGCAGCTTCAACCCTTGGCTGAAAATTAACATGAAATTAGATTATTAGGCTGAAGATTAACATGAAATTATGTGAATTATACTTTATACTTGATATACATGCACACTCTTCACACATTTTATTCTTCTCGCAACAGTATCTTTTTTCCTTACTTGGTTAGTCCTCTTGGACTTTATGTTTTCGACTTGGAATCCTGGGCTCTCTCAATAGCCATTTTTTTTCTAACCCCCTTTGGTGTATATCATAGATCTTTTGTTCTCAACAGAAAAAAATTCAAAGAATGACGCAAGCATCCAAAAAATTATTCATTCAATTTAGTAGAAACATGCAACACCTATCATGGGAACGAGTCGGACAAGTAATTGCTAACTATGTAAAGAGAATGTGGATAAAAGATACTGTGACGTTCAGAAAGAGTACATGCAAGATGTACAGAATATAAGGATTTGAGTAGCTAGAGCATTACCTGGGTACCAACCAAAAGGAATACATCAGCCTTCTCAAGCCCAGCAATATTGCTATTCATGAGATATCTATATCTTAGATCAGCATTAGGGTTTGAACCAGTTCCTTCGAACCACACATTATTTGATCCCATGTTGTTTAACAAATCTTTCAATGCCATCATGGATTCAGCATCAGAAAGTTTACCAGCAACTCCAACAATTTCCTCTGGTTTAGCCTTAAGGGCAACCTCCGCAACAACAGCCAATGCATCACGCCAGCTCACAGCCTTAAAGCGCCCATTAGCATCACGAATCATGGGATCATTTAGCCTCTGTCTCTTCAATCCATCATAACAAAAGCGTGTTTTATCTGATATCCATTCTTCATTATATCCTAAAAAGGTCAGCGAAACAGGCAAAAGTTACTTATCAACAGAACATAGTTCTTTTTTCACCCCAAAATCTAACTTGGGCAGGTGAACAGATACATCAAGAAACATTTCAATGATTAATGAATGTTAACCAGATAAAAGGGATAGCACCAGTAGGAAAATATAATCAGCTTTGAAAGAACAACTTTCCTTCTTCAAATTTTTACATTGAAGCTTCAGCAATTTATGATAAGAAAATTTAGTTACTCCGAATCTTGCACAAATTGGAAGAGACCATTCAATCATTATTACCAAAATGAAAACAAAGTATAACAGAAAAGTCTACAATTTAAGAACTAGCACAAAAGCAAGCAACATC